AATAACAGATTAGTAGTTATGGGGTGTCAAAATAAATAGTCGTATTTGTGTGACAAACATCATGCTAGGCACATGTGCGTCGGTGGCACAGTGGTTAAGACTCTCGCCGACCATGCACATGGTCCGGCGACGCACACCTGATATCTATGGTCGGCCTGCGAAATTTGGGCTACCGATATCCACGCTGAAAATTCCATACATGTACCAAAAATACAGTGTGGAATCAAGCTGTAATCAAAAATAAAATAAATAAATCGATTAGAAAATATTACGATAGAATGGGAGGCAGTGGTGGTGATTAATCATAATAGATTTGTAGATTGTGGGGTAGGAAAATTGGCTAATCAGTTCAAGGTTATCGAAGGTGTCAGGTGAGTGGCTAGTACAAAGTGGTCTGTGTTAAACAGGAGATAGTAAGACTGCAATGAGAGGTGGTTCATCATGAAATAAACAATATGTGGTGAAATGAAACAGGTGGAGGCATATATTGAGAAAAGAGATGATATCACTACTAATAAGTCCGGATAGTATGAATGGAAAATTCGATAGTATTGGGAGAATGTTTGCATGAACGGTCTAAATTATGACGAATAATAATAACTGTGATGATAATATTTCTAATAATAAGCCAAGTAAAAAAAACAAGAGGGTTAAGGGGAAGGAGGACTCTTGGTGAGAAGAAAAATCTTCAATCCAAGTTTGGCCACGGTAGGAACGGCATCTGGACGTGTTCTTTTTGGATACAAAGTTCCAGTTTAGTTGATCTTATTGTAACAGCTTCAGCTATGTGTAGGAAACGTAAGCGAAGTGTACGTGATAACAACTTCGAAATTCGGTATATAACCCTGAAAGCTGTATTGACAGTATTTTCTAATCGATTTCAGCCTAGCACAATGTTTGTCACACAAATACGACTATTTATTATGACACCCCATAACTACTAATCTGTTATTCTACATAACAAAAGTGTATCTGCCGCATAACTAACTGACCCATTATTATTGTAACGACAACAAATATATATTCTATTTTATAATTGTAAGAACCTGAAGAGGAGAAATTATTGTGAAAAGAATATTCTTCGTTCAGATTGACTTTTAATTCCCATAGCTTCGGCTATTTGTAAAAGGCGGATTCGAATTCCATTCGAAAGTTTCGATGGGATATGTGATAGATAACTTAGAAAACACTACTTCTGTTCACTTGGTGACCGCTATTATCAATCAAATGAGACAAAATAAAAATTCTCATAGATTTTATTTTGCCTTTTCCGAACCATTGAGGAAAAAAATCCTCATTAATGCTTTTGTTAGGCTGTCTAGTTGGTCGCCCTATATAGCTTTCTCCACAGAAGCGGCTAAATTTGTAAATACACATAGAAGTGTCACATCTAGACAGTTTGTCTTTCTCTTAAGCAATCATAATTGGTCGGCTCTCAATAAACTTAGATGTGTAAGACTTCACTAGCCACGTCACTATTGAATTGCTGTCTCAGGAACAGTTGTTTCTTTTTTTAACTGTTGTCAGTGTCTCTTTATTGTACCTAATATTCATGTGTCTCCTTACAAATCTATTACGATAACCCATTGGGACCAGCGTATTTTAGATGTATCCTAATTCATTTTGTAGGGAGTCATTAATACAGATCTGTCTTGCTCCATTCGTAAGGCATCTAACCAAATAGATTCGCTCCCGCCAAATGCAAGATGATGTTACAGGACTGGACTACATCGACGCCTAGTTTAAAAATAGGGAGTGAAGTGGTTGGTAGAGCACGTTGACCGCTTCACTTATTTGGGAAGTACCATCAGCCAACGCCAACAGGTTGATCTCTGACGAAATCTCAGCACGAATACAAGGGGCTCGTTTCGCATATGTCTATCAGTTTACGCCGACTCTGGCGTAGACGAGATGTTCGACTATCGACCAAAGGGCGGGTGTACTGCTCATCAGTCCGCTCCGTCCTCCTTTATGGCTGGCTGTGAGACCTGGCCACTGAGAGTGGAAGACATGAAAAGACTAGCTGTCTTTGATCATAGGTGCCTGCGTTCTATTTCCTGTGTAAAGTGGCATAATAAGGTGAGCAACATTGAGTTTAGGCCTCGGTCGAGTTCTAGGTAAACAAGGGAAATCAATCGACGAAGTCGTGAAGTTACAAAGACTGAGATGGTTAGGACATGTGTTACGTATGCCAAGCCATCGCCTCCCTCGACAGTGAGCAATGTTAGCGGATATAGGGTCAGACTGGAAAAAAGCTAGCGGCGGTCAAACAAAAACTTGGCCTCACCAGTCAATGAAATTCACAACAGTTGGTCTAAGCCAGCAACGTAGGAAGGTGTAGACTTCCTGACTGGTTGATGTCCTCGGGACGGTAAAACTCTATGGCTGGAAACAATTGGTGACATGGCTAGCTCAAAATCGTTCTCAGTGGCTAGCGCAGATGCATCCACTCCTTGTGACTTATGATCTCCACCAATGAAACTGTTTTGTTCTTCGTTATTACTCCTCCTTTGTCTCACACCTCTGCTCACTGTTTCTATTATGCTTTTCTTGTACTTTCTTCTCTTGCTTCGCGTGCTACACGGAATGTGGCGACTTGAACTGGTGCACATTTGTGCAGAGTTCTATGTCGAAAACAGACAGACAGACAGACAGATTTTCTATAGGATTGGTACAAAACTGAGGGAATGTGTGTGTGTATATATTGTCCTACAGAGGTAGGTATTTTATAGACATCTCTCTTGAATGAGTGAACCATCCTCTTTTCTGCTCAATTGTACATCAAGGAAGTATTTTCAATTCTATTATTTATTTATTATTCGCTTGAGTTCCTAGTGGAACATAGAGCTTCAACAACAACACATCTCCACTTTGTCCTGGTTTCTGACGTCCTCTTCAACTGGGTCCACGACTAACCTAAACTCTCTCTCACCTCTGCCTCACACGATCTCCTCCATGTCATCCTAGTATTGACGACCCACTCGTCGCTTCCCATTTGGATTCCACTGGAGCCGTGGTCTAACTTGAGATGTCATTATTCGACGGCCTCCTTATTGTATGCCCGATCCATCTCCATCCACTTTCTCCTACATATTTGTTGAGCAATCGGCTTTCACCTATTGGTTTGTTCCCAAACAGCCAGTTTCTTGTTGCTTATTCTTTCTGACCATTTGATCGTCAGTTTGGAGCCAGGGGAGGGGACAGCTGTTGATGAAAGTCTGCAATCTGGCTGTTGGAAATCCTTTTCGTGATACTCAGTGCAAGTTCCTGACCTGTATAAAAGAACCGACTTGACATTGGTGTTAAAAGTGCGAATCTTTTTGCTTATACTGAGTGACAGTGGAAGATTCTCCAACTGGTTTTAGTTTGATGAAGGTGTACGTATCTAGTGTTTACGATTCTGAGTGGCTCTGACATCTTCGTCCGTTCTCACTGCATGTAGTTGAGATGATGCTTCCTGGCCAGATAAGTGAAAGAGGCAAGGAAGTGTAATACTGACGTTCACAGTATTCAACACATTATTATTATTATTATTATTATTATTATTATTATTATTATTATTATTATTATTTGGTCCACAAACTCACCGTCATTGGTTAAAGTTTTTTATGTTTTATATTTTTGTCGGTGTGTGTGTGTATGTGTGAAAATCACGATTCTATTTCCCCAGAGTTCATAACATAACACTGACTCAATTCTTATCTCTGTTTTGCTTCATTAGACTACCATATAATTGAGAAGTCTATGCTTTCTCTCCTGACTATTACATTCAATGTAGTTAAAGTATGCACAAGGCTTCAGACATAGAGGTCTGTCTTTGTTTATATGTTTTGTTTTATTCCTTCACGTTCCCAGTGGAACATAGGGCACCTTCAAGCTATAGTAGCTTGAAGTTTCTGTAGCAGTGGTGATTATTTTTACAGGATGGGGTTGCTAGCCTCACCTGCCCCAACCTTCCCTCTTTGTCACTTCTATTATTGGCTTAGTGAGGTAAAGGAGTGCGTCGGTGGCTGCCAGGGATCGAGCCCTGGACCATGTGCATGGTTGGCGAGCGTCCTAACCGCTGTGCCATCGACGCACTTTTCTTTATATCTATAGTGAATGAAAACTTTTTCCTAGAATTTCAACATTGTCGAAATTAATCGTATGTTTAGCTTTCTGAAGTATGCATCGCTGTAGTTGATCTTTTAATGAGACTCATTGTAACTCGATTTGTCTATGACCGTATTATATGGAACATAGGGCTTCAACAACACATCTCCACTTTCTTTTATTTGATGCTGTCCACTTCAGCTGCATCCACGATTGCCCATAATCCATCATCTCCTCCTCCAACTCACACGATGTCACCCTCTCATTGACGACCCTATTCTCGCTTTCCATTCGGATTCCACTCGAGCGATGGCTTGCATTGTGCACGATGTCATTCGATGGCCTCTTCAATGTATCCCCGATCCATCCATCTCTATTTTCTCTCACATATTTCATGGAGGATTTCATCATGATCAGCTGGCATCAGTTAGAGAACCACTGGAAAACCAACTGAGAGTACTGGACAGCTGTTTTTCTCCTAGTTTGGGACTCCTAAGAAGTACGCACCCACCACCGGGGTTTGAACCCAGGACCTTCTGGTTACAAGGCGAGCTAGCTCGTAGACCATTGAGCCGATCCAATGGTTCTTGAATTCTAACTTCTGCCAATTCACGCATGACACAGCACGACCATTTCGCAATGTCTTCTTCGATGACTTACTGCCTTATCTTCGATCTGCTATACCCTACTTGTCATGGCTTACTTATTTGTTGAGTAATAGGCTACCGGTTGACTTGTCACCAGCCAGAGTTACTTGTTGCTAATTCTTTCTGGCCGGCCGACTAACCATTTGACCTTCAGTGTAGCGACAGTATAGTTTATCTTTTTATAAGCATAAAATGCTTCACAGTAATCCATCCTAACCTTTTATTATTATTATTTGTCTCGTGTATTTGTTTTCAATTCAGACACCTAATCCATCAACACCACCTGTGAAATCAACCGCTGAAAATGGTTACATGAATGATAAAACTACTACTAATAATAATGGTGATAATAATAATAATATCGATAATGATGATGATAATGTATGTGTTAAAGTAAAATCGAAGAGTACTCATTCTTATCCACCTCTTCCTCCACTTTCATCAAATCGTATTGATTCTCATAAGACAAGTAAAGGAGGAGTCCCTTCGAAATCCAACTCCTCCTCCTCCTCCTCACCATCGTCAACAGGGACAAATATGATGAATGGTGTCAGTGAGAATATCACTTCAATGTCATATCCAATCATCAAATCTCCTGGTAATCATGAAGTATGCAATATTGTCAATTCTATGGCTACCACTACTACTACTACTACTACAAATAATAATAATAATAGTAATAATTATATGAACAATACTGATAGCTGTGTAAAAGATCATTTCACCTCATCAATCCAACAATCGCCATCATCCTTATCACCGCCGCCTTCACCATCCGATTCTGAATCATCTGACAGTGAATCGACAACAGAATCTATTTATCATCAACCACCGAAAGCAGCTGATCGTAGTGCTGCTTTTCGGCTAGCAAAACGATTGTTTCATTTAGATGGATTTCGGATTACTGATGTTGCTAAGCATTTATGTAAACGGTAAGTTTTATTTATTTTTTTTTTGTATTTTGTTCAATAAATTTATTATTATTTTTATGATTATTTCTGTCCCCATTTCTGTTTAATTTCATCTTAGAGGTACACACTGATAGAGTTAACCCTAACTGAAAGCAGCAACTCAGGCATTGACTTGTTACTAGGGTTTTTTGACTTAGAATATTCGGATGATATAGAATAAATAATAATAATAATTTGCTTTATTCCAAAACAGTACTTGTGATACAGAATGGAATTCTCAGCATTTCACTACATACAGTATTGCATCCAGTTAGTACATTATTAATAAAAAAAATTCTACATAGATTAAGGGTAATCTCAGTTCATTATCATAACAACATATTGGCATGTCAGTAGCAAAGCCAAAATTGAACAGAGTGTTTGAAGGTGTTAGAAAAGTAGATGCTAGCATATTTACTGGCGTAAGCGGTAACATAAAGGTCGAGATATACGGAGTGTGAAAGAACGAAGAAGAATGTTTTAAATGGAGTTTATAAGGAGCATATAGTTTTCTAAAGAGGCTTCTGGTTCTGCCTGATGAGATACAAGGGGAGAGTCGTGAATGAAGAGGATGGTGTGAGTTAGATAGAATGGATTTTGCCCATTTTTCACATGAGTCCATTTGCTTGTCAACCAGAATATTAACAAGCTGGTGGTTAAGTGGCACGTTGCTTGCTTACCCTGCTGACAACCTTTAACATCCTGCGTAATAAGGTATAGTCTTTCTTCAGTAGCCAGCCCTGGAAAAACTAAGAGGGAACAATAGAGAATAATAGACAGAATACGAGAGTTAACGAATCGTAGGAGTAAGGGTTGGGTTGGGTTATACCAGAATGTCTTAACTTCTTGATGTAGAAGGTAAGACGGAATATTTTCTTAGAAATCATCAAGATATGAGACGACCAGGAAAGATCAGCAGATAGAATGACGCCTAGGTATTTAATTTCTGACTTGGTTTCACTTTCAGTGCCATCAATGTTGCACACCTCGTGAGTGCTAACCAGTTTGTTTAGGTCAGATTTGTGCCTAAAGGTGAAATTGACTGTTTGGAATTTAGAGGGATTCAAGGTTAGACCGTTTTCCTCCGACCATTGGCTGATTTCTGATAAAAAGCCATTTAGTTTAGAGCAGTCACTTTGACATTTGACAGCCAAAGATACAGTCAGGTCGTCAGCATATTTGACAAAATTAATGTCATTTGAGGATGATAAGTCGTGTAGGAAGAAAGAAAAGAGAAGTAGGGAGAGTACAGCACCTTGACCTTGGCGGCCTATTCGAATTTTCGGGCCAGCTATTATAATGTCTACATATTGCATCCAATCTACCGTTCGCTCTTAGTCGAAGACACTGACAAAATACAGGGTCTTTTGAACACCTTCGGAAGCAGCAGTCTTCGAATATTTGGCATGTGATTCGCTTCTGTCAAATGTAACATGATGCTGCAGAACTGGACTGCATTGACTCCTAGCTTAGATTATAGGGGGGGGTGAAGTGATTGGTGAAACAGGTTGACCACTTACTTCACTTATTTGGGAAGTTGCATTAGCCAGCGCCAATGGGTTGGTCGCTGACGAAATCTCAGTACGGATACAGAAGGCTCGTTTGGCACATGCCGACTTACGTCATCTCTAGCATAGTAGACGTGATTTCTTGTTGGCCGTCGACCAAAGGACATGTATACTGCTCAGTAGTTCGCCATGTCCTCCTTTATGGTTGGCTGTGAAACATGGCGACTGAAGCGAAAGATACGAAAATACTAGCTGTCTTTGATCAAAGTTGCCTGCATTCTGTCTCTCGTTTTAGGTAGTATAAAATAGGGTGAGCAATATTGAAGTGAGACATCGGTCGAGTGCTAGGTAAAAGGGGGAGGGGAAATCAATCAGTGATGTTGTGAAGCAGTAGAATCGTAAGTAGTCATCGCCTTCCTCGACAATGGGCAATGTTAGCTGGCTGACGCGAGATTGATCAGGTTGGAAGAGAGAGGAAGCTGGTTGTTGGTGGTGGTCAAACGAAAACATGGCTTCATCATTTGAGCCAGATAAGTATAGAGGTGTAGAATAATGGCTTCCTTTCTGGCTAGTTGAGGTCATCAGGATGCTAAGAACCAAACCAATGATAATGATGGCTGGAGACAATTGGTGATATCGTTGGCTCGAAATCATCGTTCTCAATGGCTGCTGCAGATGTATCCAGTAAAACTCCATTCTTCTTCCACATTACTACACTATTCTTTTCCCTCATTCACACTTCTGTGTGTTATCTCTCCCTCTCTCTCTATGTCCCTTTTGAATATGTCTTTACTCTCCTCTTTTGCTTTATATACTACATGAATGGAGTGTGGCAATTTGAACTGCTACACATCAGTGCAAAGTTCTACGTTGAAACCAGTCAGTCAGTCAGTCAGTCAGTCAGTCAGTCAGTCAGTCAGTCAGTCAGTCAGTCAGTCAGTCAGTCAGTCAGTCAGTCAGTCAGTCAGTGAGTTAGTCATCCCCTTTTCTCATTATTGTCTCCCTCAAGAATTTCTCCTCATTAGTCTAGTCTACAACTTGAACAACATAACCTTCTCGCTCTAACTCCAGACTCCTTGTACATATATCGCACTGGAACGAAGCTATTGAAATGTCAGTGACATAACGGTTAGGACGCTCGCCAACCATGCACATGATCCAGGGCTCGATCCCTGGCCGCCAACGGCTCACTCCTTTACCTCGCTAAGCCAGAAATATAATGCAGATAAAGAGGAAAGGTTGGGCCAGGTGAGGCTAGCAACCCCATCCTGTAAAAATAATCACCACTGCTACAGAAACTTCAAGCTACTATAGCTTGAAGGTGTCCTATGTTCCACTGGGGAACGTGAAGGAAACGAAAAATAAATCGTCCACTCTAACAATCATGTTTGTAGAGGAGGAGTAGGAGGAGGAGTATTCAGCTGATTGACGAACTCTACCGAAATTTGTGAATTCACTTCTTATTATTTTTTTGCTTAGTTTCAATTGTTTCAATTATAAGTCTATCCACATCCTTGTATATTGTTTATGTAAACAGAACTATATGTGTTTGTGTTTGTGTGTGTGAATGAGCGAGTGACTGTTTCACACTGATTTGAACACCACGTGTTTGGTTGGTTGTGTTGTTTATATTTTTGAAATATATATATATATATATATATATATATATATTAATTTAAGGACAAGTTATCAAATATTGATTTATGTAGCTTACAATTGTTATTGGATTTAATCCTGTGTGTATTTCATGGTTATATTAATACCACCACCTCTATATTATATCATAGTTAACATGACTTATTCTCTCATAGTTATTATTATTGTTATTATTTCCTTTAATTCCTAGAGGAACATAGGGCTTCAGCTGCACGTCTCCATTACGTTCAGTTCTCTACCAACGTTTTCACCTGACTCCACGTCTACCCACATGCTTTCACCTCCTCCTTACATGACCTCCTCTAAGTCAACCCTGAACGGCCGACTCGCCGCTTCCCTTTCGGTTTCCATTCGAGTGATGTCACTTGATGGTTAGTTTCCTCTGAGTATGGCCAATCCACCTCCTCTTCTTGCTGCCTATTTGTTTCACAATCGGTTCCTGGTTGGTTCGCTCCCAGAGATCCCTGTTTCTGATCTTTTCTGGCCAGCCATCTGATCTTGAGTATTGAGCGAAGGCAGCTGCTGATGAGAAGGTCTGTAGTTTGTTTGAGATGCTCTTTATGACGTATAATAAGTAGCACTGACTTCACATTGGAGTTGAAAATTCGGATCTTATTTTTCATGCTGAGTAGAGCTGTTGACCTCCACTCAGACTTGGGAGTAATCAAAGCTTGCCTTTTTTTCCCAATCCTCGTTTTGATATCCTCGTCAGTTCCGCCTGTAGTTGAAACGATGCTTCCCAAGTAAGTGGGTAGGTGAAGGAGGTTGCTTCTTTCAGGTTCCTCACATTTATGCTGGCTGATTGTTGTCTGTTTTTGTTGCTCCTGCTGTTGGTGTTGGCCATGAATCTTCGTCACCTCTGTTTTCTCTACGTTCACCTGAAGGAATTCTTATCTTTGATGCTTCTTCTGTCGCCAGCTTGTTGCTTTTCACTTGCATATCTTCCAGTTTGTGAGAAATCAGACATATATCATCGGCGAAGTCCAGATCCTCCAAGTTTTTCGTAAGGGTCCATTTTATGCCTGTTTCCTCGCTGCCCACTGTCTGTCGCATTATCCAATCTACTGCCATCAGGAAAATCATTGGCGATAGTAGGCACCCAGCTTGTCTTACTCCCATCTTTACTTCGAAGGATTCCGTAAGTTTCCCTTTGTGGATTACTTGGCATGAATCATAGTTAAAATGCCTATAATGCAGTTGCACAGTGAAATGTGTACTACTATCAATCTACTGGTATTATTCCCTTGGATGGTCCCGAATGGCACATATAGGGCTTCGGTAGAACACCTCCATTTCATCCTGTTTTCCTCTGGCTACATGAATGCCCATCTCCGTGTCACCCTCGGACACGCACCCAACTCACCGTCTCGCATTTGAGGGGTTCCACCCTTACGGGGGTAGCCTGGTTTCCCCCTCACCGACTTCACTCAAAAGTCTTCTCAGTGTGTATCCGACCCATCTTCATTTTCTTTTTTAGCATATTTGTTGAACAATGGGTCCTTGGATCGTTGGTTGGGAAATTACTTACTTGCCGCACCAAATCTGTGAATCATATATAAAAGCACTGACTGATTTGACGGTTATTGTTGAAAATCCAAATCCTGTTCTCTATGCTGTGACTGAGGAAAGAAGATTTCCAAACTGGTTTCAGGTTGATGAAGGCATATCTTGCTTTTTCAATCCTGGATTGAGGTGGAATTCAACGACGTACTAATTCAAACTTCCTCCAGTCACTGTTGTCAGCCAATACGAGCCAACAGCGAGTATTTATTTCCATCGACTCATCACAACTTTTCATTAAAATGTCAAAAACTCCAT